GCCATACCCTGCGCCTTGGACCGGCATCCACAGCCATGGACAGAGGTCCCTGGTCTTCCCTCATCCTCCGTGGCTGCCTCCATGGGACAAGGACCGATTCCAACACAGGCTCCTCTTTCCCCCTTCCCGACATCAGCAGAAGGCAGCGTCCCTGCATGCCATCCATATACAACCCCTCTTTGAGAAAAGACACAGAGAATAAACTCCTACGAAAGCCCTACATTGAGCTCCAATCTGCTCTCGGGGTGGGACGGGTGCTCCCCACATCTCTGGGAGAAGGCTGCAGCCACCTGGGGTCCCAGGGTGGTGGGGGTGGCAGGTGGTGCCACAGCTCTGAGAGCAGATACCAGGGGTACTAAGAGGTGCTTAGACAAGGGCTGGTGCCCCGCCATGGGTGCCCAGCCCAGTAGGGCCATGCCATGACAGATAAAGCTCAGGACGTCAGAAACTCACCATGGACACCAAAGCAGAAACCAAGGACCGTCCGCAGGCAAATAAGCACCCAGCATCCCTCCCGGCTGTTGGTGCCCCATACCCTGTATTTATTCTTTTAACAATAACAAAAGCCATTTATTTATTCCATCTAGAAAGGAAACCTTGTTTCAGTCCCCTCTCTCTGGCTGTTCTGTTACTTTCCTCCCACCTGTGCCCTCCCTGGGATGTGTATGCCTTGCCCGCCCTCCCTGGGCACATGTGCACACGTGCCCAGGCACAAGTGTGTCTTTGGGTCCCTTGCCCTGCAGTTTCCAGAGGGCTCTGCTCCAAGTTCCCTAGCGGGCCCTTCAGGGAGGAAGAGCCTCACGTGCAGTCTGGGTGTCTTCGGGGGCCCATCTGGAGGGGCTGCAGCAATTCCCCTGGGTCTCCAGGTAGCCAGTTAACTCTTGGGCTCAGGCATCCTTGCACATGGTTGCATTTCTTTAGTCTTCTGTGGGTCTTTTGGTGTGAGTTTGATTTTGCTTTTGCTTTTCTAGCTGAGTTTTCCCAAGTACATCCTCAGAAGCTCCGGGTGTGCCAGAGGACCCCCGGAACTAAGAAGGGAGGGCGAGTGGGTCTCCATTCCCTGAGAAGCTAGGGGCAGAGTCAAGCCTCACAGAAGCCAGCATGGGTCTGCTCAGCACCCCAGCTGGGGCTCGGGCCCAGGGAAACAGCCCCAGTTCATCCCAACCCCTCTCAGAGCCTCAAGAGGGGTGGCTCGGCTGCCAGCAAGAGAGGGGTGCTCTGTCCCTGGCAACCCCTCCACGTTGCATACCCCAGCACCTGCCACCGCCTTTGCCATTTCTTTGAGCTTGAAGTTAACTCTCTTAAGAGTCTAACTTTGGTTCATTTCTGCACAGGTACAATAGATGACTTTATTTGTTTAAAATGTTTAATATATATACATACATATATATATATTTGTCTGTAAGAATTATGTTTTAAACAGCTGCTGTAGAGTACCTTTTTTTAAGTAAATCTTCCAGTGGAGTATATTTTTTAAAGCACAAAATTGGTGCCAAGACTGGGTGAGAAATGTACATTAACCCCTTATTATTTTGAGGTTTTTGGTTTTTTTTCCGGGGCAGGGGACCTTATCTGTAAGACTTTCAAAGATTTTCCTCCCTCCTGTTTCAGGTGGGTCACATTCTGGTGAATGTTTCCCTTGTACAGATACCAGCTTATGGCCTTGACTCAGCCGTCCCCACGGATGCTGGGTGACCCTCTAGCTCTGTCTGCATCTCCCACCCCCTGATGCCCTGGGACCCTCGACCCCACCCTTCTTTCCTCCCAGCCCAGAGCCTTGTGGCTTGTACAGTTTTGAAACTCCCGTTCTATTTTATGATGGTTGATAATAGTCAGTAACCTAATAAAGGAACGTTTGTTAAAATATCAAACCATTTTTGAGTTCCTTGTTTGTGCCTCGGGGGAGGGGAAGAGACACGGCTGACCCCTCCTGGGTCCAGCCAGCTCCACGGCCCACAGTTTTCAGCAGATGATGGGCCGACTCCCTACCACCCCTTGGCAGAGGGTGAGATGCCAGGTGAAGCCCCAGAGAAGGAGGAGGAGAGTCCTGGAGGGAGGACCCCAGAACAACCTCATCCCCATTTCAGAAGTTCCTCAGCCTGGCAGCCCAAGCTGCGGAAACTTGCTGAGCCTAACAGAAAGTGATTCTGTGCCTTCGTGGGCACAGCAGGTTGGTTTGTGGGGCTGTAGAACTTGAGTTGACTGTGGGCTTTTTAGGAGCAGAGTGTGAGCCATTGTGGGCGTCCTCAGAGTCTAGGGTCTAGGGGAAGGAGCAGGTCCTTCATCTTTGTGTCCCCTGAGGCCGAGTGCACGGTGAGGTTTGCTGAACAGTTGCAGAGTGAACTTGTTTTGCTAGCCACGTGGGCAGAGCCCCCAACAGAAAGGACAGGAAACTCTGGCTTATTTAGGGGATCAATGGATGATAAAATGACAGTCAAGAAATTTACTAAGATGTGATCCCATGTCACGGCTAGTTTCCAAAGAATTAGCAAAAGCACATTCAGCTTGCGGTGGGGACGCTTCATTCTCAAGGCGTGCTGGGTCCTGATAGTGCCGTGAAAAGTGCCTGACCTGAGGGCCTAAGATTCCTGGGCCCAAAGACCCATGTTCCTTTCTGTAAGAGCCTCCTGACCAGCTGTCTTCAGACCACACACATCAGCAGCATCTGGGAGGGGGTTGAGAAAATGCAGATTCCAGGGTCCCACCTGAGATGTACCAAGTCAACACTTCTAGGGCCAGGCCCAGGAATATGCATTTCCTGAACTCCCTAGGTGACCGTGCCTAAGAGAGTTTGGACACCACTATTTGTGACAGTGTCAGCTGTTTTGCAAAGTTGCTGGGTAGAGGGAAATTATTCCATGGTGTCGGTGGGTTGGCCCAATGAGGAGCGTATGCGCTCCTGAGTCAGACCTGGATTCAAATAACTGGCTTTGTGGCCTTGGATGAGCCTCTGGAAAACAGCAGTCACTGTAGTGTTGTAGCACTATAGTGTAGTACCTGTCTCACAGGAAGATAGCAAGGGTAAGATGAGGCTCTCTGAACAGGACCTGGTGTCTTAGCAAGTGTGCAAACGAATGCTTTAAAAGCTCCTGCGTTTCTGGAAAATGGCAGTTTCTGGGTTGCGACTTTGTCTTTAAGAATGGACCAGATGTTTGGGCATGGTGGCTCATGCCTGTAATCCCAGTACTTTGGGAAGGCCAAGGCGGGCGGATCATGAGGTCAAGAGATGGAGACCATCCTGGCCAACATGGTGAAACCCCGTCTCTACTAAAAATACAAAAATTAGCTAGGCATGGTGGCGCGTGCCTGTAGTCTCAGCTGCTCAGGAGGCTAAGGCAGGAAAATGGCATGAACCCGGGAGGCGGAGGCTCCAGTGAGCCGAGATCACACCACTGCCCTCCAGCCTGGGCGACACAGTGAGACTCTGTCCCCTCCAAAAAAAGAATGGACCAGACATTCCTAAACCAACTTCCTGATAATGATCTTTCTTCCCAGGTAAAGTCTCCAAAGGTCAAGGTAGGTATTGGGAAGAGGGACCCCTAGATGCGTTTCCCAGATGCGGTTGGAGGAAAGGGTGGTCTAAAATGATTTTCAGGTTGGAGTTCATGTCTGGGTTGCAGTTGGAACTCCGCTTCCTTTGAAGGGGGCGGCAGGGGAGGAGTAGGGTTGGGGTCAGGCACTGGGGGCGGGGGAGGCACAGGGAAAATCAGGGCCCTCGTGCTGCCAGGAGACTTCTCGGGGAGCAGCGTTTTGTGCCGAAGGGAGTGGGATTAATAAAACCATCTGTGCAGACTTGGCCCATGTGGTTGTAATTAATCCCCTGCCTTCAAGCAGGTAGCAGACTCTCAGGGCTTGGCCATAGATGGGAAGAGTCCTCCCGTCCCCACCCTTCAGCACGCAGCTTCCCTCCCGCCTTCTCCACTCCTCAACGAGATGAGGAATGTGGAATTTACTGAACCATAAACTATGCCGGGGGAGCTGGGGAGGGGGCCGAAGACAGAGCAATTAGTTCATGCTCCAGTCCAGACACCCAAACATGGTTGGATTCCAGCTGCAAGGAATATTTGAAATAAATGAGCTGCCCAGGGCCAGGAGTTTGCTGTGTTTTCTGTACGGGGCCATGGCAACCAGGGAGGAAATCGTGAGCTAGGGACTGGGCTCTAGAGTCAACAAATGATGTCCTGGCCCAGCAAACGCAGAGGAAGCCGCTCATGGCTCTCCTCGGGTTTCTCAGGATTCAGCTGCTGGCAGGCAGGACTCGGGCTGACCATCTCCCTGGTGCACTCAGACCGTGGTGTTCTCTCCTGGGTTCTGATTTTTTTTTTTTTTTTCTGGTAAGAAAAGAGAAAACGAACTCTTCTCTGGAACCTTTCTTCCTGGGCCAGAGAACAGCTGCTGTTGTTGCTGCCGGGCTGATAATGATTTTCCTGGGTAGAGGAATATGCTCCGTGGGAAAGCTCAGGCTGAGGCAGCCAGCTAGACAGAGGTGGCACTGACCTTGTGCAGGGTTGTCTTCCCACCCCACCCCAATCGCAGCCTCTACTGGGTCTGCTTTATAGGCAGGAGAGGCAAAGGTCTCCTCCAGCTCCCTTCCCCGGTGGCGTTTGGAGGTGAACCTTAGAACTGCCCCCAAGGATGTGTCTTACAAATGCATGTGAGTACCAGGACCTAATTGGGGATTTCAGCCGGAAGTTCACAGATGCTCCCTGCATCTGAATCACCCGGGGGAACCTGGGCGGGGGGGCGGGGGGGAAGCAAAATCCTGGTAAGCTTGATATGCAATAGGATGGGCCTGAGAATAGGCATCTTTGAACACCCATAGATGAATCAGATAACATTGCTCTGAAGGTTTCTGGGGTCCCAGCGTTACGTGCAGCGTTGCATCCATGCAGAGTTGCATACAGAGCTGCACCTATGCAGACCTCTCTGCTGTATCCTCATGGTCCTTCAGGGTCCTGCCAGGGGCTGAGACCCACAGAAGCTTGGAGACCACGGGTATAGAAGATTCTGTTCGAGTGGCCCTCCCAGCTCTCTCTGCTCTGTGTCTCAGAGCACAGGCACTCCGAGAGCTACAGATCAATGCATCAATGCCAGGCACAAAAACTTCTCACCCAGGCACAAAAGTGCTCGTCTTAGGAATGAACAAAGTAGATCCAAGGGAGAAATACTGGAGTCCAGGCAGGGAAACCTTGAGCTCTAGCCTTTAGCCACAGTTTCCCCAAGGAAATTAGACTCTGGAAAGCTGAACCAGGAGCTTGGAGACAACATTCGGGTCTACAAGCCACGGCCCACGCAAGAACCTTCCAGCAGGGCCATCCCCACGGGAACTGCTCAGGGGTATTTCCCACAACCTCAGCACAGCGTGTAGGGACAAGGGCCGCGTCAACCCAGCTATGTGCCTCTCGGAGTATGTCTTCCTCTCGCTTTACAGCCTAAGAAGCAAACATTTTAATCCTGGGCCCTACCTTTCGCAAGATGTTCAGCTTTGCCAATGATTTCTGCTAAGCAAAGTGGGGCCGCCAGGGTTTCTGATGCCTACAGGTGGAATCAACTCCAGTGGAAAAGGAACCCCACCTTCCAGGCTGGCCATGTGTGGAGACTGAGTGACTGGGGAGAAGGGGCCTGGCTTCAGGACTGACGCCCGGCTTCCTCCTTCCTGTCCAGGATGCTGACTTGAAAGCCTGGAGCCTTGGCGTCTCCATCTGTGAAATGGGAACAGTACTTTCCTCCCAGCAGGGCCACTGAGACCCATATGCTTAGGGCTGGGCACATCAGGGCCTGAGCCCAGGGTATTCCTATCTCACCCTTTGATTTGTAATTAAGGTGAAATTCACATAATATCAAATTCACTGTTTTGAAGTGCGCACATCAGTGTGGCGTGTAGTACATTCGTAATGTTGCGCAACTGTCACCTCTATCTAGTTCAAAACATTATCATCACCCCCAATGAGTACCTCACACCCATTAGGCAGCCACTCCCCATTCCGCTCCCCCAGCCCCTGGCAACCACTAATCTACTTTCTGTCTCGATTTGCCTATTCTGGACATTTCTTATCAATGGTATCAAACAATAGGTGACCCTCTGGGGTCTGGTGTCTTTCATTTCCAATTGGCTTTTTAAGGAGCTGCTCCCTGGCCCCTCCCCCGTGACTTCCCTGTGTCTTTGTTTCCTTATTTCATCAAATGGGAGAACGTTTCCTCTTCTTAGGGTTGTGAGAATTAAGCGAGCCATGTATGTAAAGTGCTTAGAACGCTGGTCACTGGTCACAGGAAGTAATCAATAAAAATAGCTAGCATAATTACTCCTCCATCCCCAGGGCACCCAGAGACCCTTGTGTATGCTCCTAAACTCACTGAAGTCGCCTAGTCCATGAATGACCCTTTCCTAGAGTGCGCCTTGCAGGGAAATCGCCTGGGCCCAGGGGCCTCAGTTTATCAGATCCGGTTTTCTAAAAACCAGTCTGGTCACCAGGGCTAGCAGAGTTGGGTGGTTAAGAGCTCTGTGGCCTCGTGCGGCTCCTCTGATCCCTAGTTTCCAAACTCTATTCATTTCCTGGGGCTGCTATAACCAAGTACCACACACTGGGTGACTTAAAACAATGCACATTTATTCTCTCCCCATTATGGAGGCCAGAAGTCCAAAATCAAGGTGTGGGCAGGGCTGCACTCCCTCCAAAAGTTCTAGCAGGAGATCCGGCCTATGGCCGGGCGCAGTGGCTCTCATCTGTAATCCCAGCACTTTGGGAGGCCGAGCTGGGTGGACCACTTGAGGCCGGGAGCTCGAGACCAGCCTGGCCAACATGGCAAAACCTCGTCTCTATTAAAAATACAAAAACTTAACTAAAAATACAAAAAATTAGCTGAGTGTGGT